CCTCTTGTGGATAGTCATCTTCATAAGTCCTTTCTAAACACGAGTAGTTTGAGATAAATTTTAATTGTTTGTTTGTTGATTTTAATGTCCCTCTGGAGAATTTTTCACTCACATGGAGACGTCATTTGCCGGGATGGGCCCGGAGCTCAAAAATTTATACCTACATGTACACTAGGTATTAGGGGCCATTTAGCAATGAGGGTTCTTTTTCGTCCCAAAAACCACCACGACACGGTACCTCAGTTTATACGGTGAAAATATGAAGATAACGAACAGTATTCAAGATCAAAAGTCCATTAAACAATACAAAATAGGAGCAGAGCAAACATGGACTTCAAAAACATCAGAGCTGGAATCAGGTGCTATGGAGGAGTGAGCAAACCGGTAATACCCGTAGTGTGCTCCTTGTCATGATCGGGAAATAACGGCAAAATCCGTCGACAATTCAGTGTGTAAATAATTTGTATAAAAAACGTAGACATCATTTGACTTAATAATAATTGTTTTCGCTGACAAGGTCATAGTATCGACCATAGAACTTCCGAAATAATAATTTTAAACGAGACTGTTGATATTGTTGTTTCACCTACTTGTTTATCAATACATTACCTCGTTTTAGAAATTGTTCATATGTAGAGCATGCTCTTATTTATCTAATCAATTGAGAGGTATAAACCCCGTATGCACATAGAGGTGACAAAGGTAAATCGCTGCTGAAATTGACGATTGAAAAGTTAAAGTCATCGCATTTATATAAAACTTTGGTTTTAGATTACCATTAACATCTTCTAGAAATATCTAAATATGAAACAGTTGTGTCAGACTATGTGGTATCTTTTATTTTAAGCTCACTGGGATATATTGTATCAACATAAGAATTTACATAGAGAATAATACATACCCTTTTCCATATCACATCGTGTATCAGCCCGAGACACCAATACCGAAGGCCCCGAGGGCTGATACAGGATGTGATGTGGAAAAGGGTATGTTTTATTATATTTATTACACTTAGTAATAAAATACAGAACACATTGGGTGGAGAAAAAATAAGTAAATAATCATGTACAGATTTCTTACAATGTACACGGTCTGTTGTCTCATACAGTTTTGGTTGGTTTCTAAATGTACTTCTATTTCAAGTGTCCCCGATCCGTAATTTGATAGTAATCAATTAATAGTCAATTAGATTATCCTTACATTCAAAAAGTTAAAATCAAGAGAATTATGTAACCCCCAAAATATGTGTATGATCACAAGTACTATTTTTTGAGGTTAAATTTACTAAGGGTGTGATATTGATCCGTATCAGCTCTGCAAATCCATATCAGCCCTGCAGGGCTGATACGGCTATTGTGACGTTAGCCATATCGCATATGCAAAAAACCTGTATTTATTACTAAGTATGTAATAAAATGAAATAGCAGTGTGACAATACGTCGTCGATATATCTAAATGTCAAGTTGAAGGTCACAGAAAGTGCTTTCTTCTTTTCACATATATGATTTCGAACAAATTCTGCTTCATATGAACACAAAATAGATCTGCTAATAACGGGAAACAATTTATACCCATGAGAATTCCAATAGATTGTTCGAAGACCTGGTCTCCAAAAACAAGAATGATATTGTCAATCAGAAACGTGAGCACATTTTCAATATGAGAAATCTAATTTTTAATTCAGAATACTTTGTGTACAATCAGATTTTTAAAAAAATAATTTTGCAAATGACCAATGACAAGGCTAGTAAATTTACAAGTTCCATTTTTATTGAAGAAGCATATATAATAAAAAAGCCTGAACTCTAATTTATTGTGGGGAATTGATGAACGTTGAAAAATTGTAATTTCTTATGCTGTTGATTTTGGTTAAAAAAAATGATTTCAAATTTTCCAAATTTCATTGGAATTTTTACAGTCCTCATGAAGTTTTTCCTTCTGCACAGTAAATATTTCTTGAGGAGTAAAGAAAGGGACTTTGTAGAACATAAATTACTAGAATCTGCTATGTATCTTTGTTTGTAAGGATTTTTCCGTAGTTTCGAAATCCAGTCTAGATACATGTATGGTAATTCAAATTCATTTTGTTCGTGGGAAAATCTACGGTCTCGCCCGAAGGATCGCAGTGGATTTGAAGCTGCCACTTGAGTTCCCTATTGACAATACTAGTATGTAGTCTTCGGAGATCAGGTCTTCAATTCTGCTCCTTTTATTAGCTGACTTGATTTTATATTCCTGTGTAGCAAACTTTTTTCAAAAACTTCTTTAAAAGAAGACATTTTCCGATGTAGTCTTCAATTCGACATTTACATCAATCGATATCGTTTAAACAATTAGCAATAACAACTTTCATCTATAAGTCGACTACATGTATCCAAAATAACTCGAAATAAAATATTACACAAAGTCTTCCACATTAGCTAAATAAGTAAATATATAGATGTTTTACTGACTGGTTATCTTCTCTTTTTATCACAAAATAGTTCATCTCATTTTTAACCTTCTGACCCAAAGAGCTGAAAACGAATTTTTTTTTTTTTTGCAGAGGGGAAAGGGCCAAATATCAACTTTTAAAAAACAATGCTGCTATACACAATTGCTTAAATTATAACTACGAGCTAGTCAACGTGAAACACACACCGTGGCAAATTAAAGCTTTGCAATTAGACCTTAACAATTCATTAATTTGTCTTAGTTTTTTTTTTAAATAATGATGGAACGTATGGGCGGAATGTCGGAAATTGTATAAGATTAGCACTAATGTTTACGGAGTAAATTGAATAAATTCAATTTCAAAAAAGAAAGAAAAATACCAAAAGACTTTTTTTATTTAACAACTAAAATATTAACACTGTTGTAAACTGAGTTTTGATTAAATATCTGCCCGATTTTTACGCAATTCCTATTGCATTAGAAAGCAAAATCACAAACAACACAGAAAATATGTAGGATAAACAATTTTTTTTTATTATACGATAACATTCAAGTATACATTGTACTCTTGAACTGCATACATACCCAATGCAGCTGACAACTATAGGCTGTCCAGCGTCTCTTAAAAATCCAAATGATAAAGGTGATGATAATGAAAAGTGATAAATATGACAAAATAATTTAATTCTGGTTGTAACGCTGTATTTGATTGGATAAAAAATTTACTTCATATCGTATAAAATGGGTTACCTACGTCACAATGACTTACGTCAAAAACGTATCAATCCGCCTGACTTAACATTCAAATTTTGTACAAATTGAAGTCATTTTGTCAGAACAATCATCTTTTTTTCTTACATCAAATGAATGAAAATTAAATTATAAGCAATGAATTTAATAGCTACCCATTTTATACGGTATAAACTGGGTTGGAACAGTTTACGCTTTTTTATAAACCGCTTCGCGGTTTATGAAGCGTAAACTGCCCCAACCCAGTTTATACCGTATAAAATGGGTAGCTATTAAATTCATTCCTTAAATATAAACAACAACCCTCAGAAATTCCAGTTATGTCAAGGCGACTAGGAAGCGACGACATCCCCTGTCGACCAGGTTCAGTTTGTCAGCTAGACAGAATAATCGGTAGTCCAAATTTATGAAAAAAAAAGAAAGAAAACCTAACATTTGGTTTGAAAAAATGTCCTTCAAAAATGACCCTATGTTTGGTTATATTTCATTTAAGGAATGAATTTAATAGCTACCCATTTTATACGGTATAAACTGGGTTGGGGCAGTTTACGCTTCATAAACCGCGAAGCGGTTTATAAAAAAGCGTAAACTGTTCCAACCCAGTTTATACCGTATAAAATGGGTAGCTATTAAATTCATTGCTTATAATTTAATTTTCATTCATTTGATGTAAGAAAAAAAAATATTGTTCTGACAAAATGACTTCGAATTTTACAAAATTTGAATGTAACGTCAGGCGGATTGATACGTTTTTGACGAAAGTCATTGTGACGTAGGCAACCCATTTTATACGATATGAAGTAAATTCTTCATCCAATCTAATACAGCGTTACAAACAGAATTAAATTATAACAATATCAGTATATTGACAAAAAATCTCAACGCAGCAGTCAATTCTCATTCAGCAAAGCCGTCACCAAGGAGAGACAAAATAAAAAACCCTTCCTATACTCTCAGAGCATTTTTTTTTCTTCAATTTTATTTTCAAAATTGGGAAGGCTAGTCCTTATATTTGTAAATGTCTAAATCGCCTTATTTAGTTACAAGTTCTATTACAATTACTAATAATTTAATTCTGTTTGTATTCTTGTCTCTCATTGGTTGATTTCCAAAAAGGAACGCATAACATTTTGTATAATCTGGTTTGGTATGGGGACACACCCCCTTGACAACCAGCTGAATCATCTGTACCCATCAATCCCCTCATTTCCAGTCCTTCGGATTCATGAAAAATTCCAGATTTAATGAATGTACCTTTAACTTCAAACAGTTGCTCGATCTTACCTCATGTAGACAAGCATCATGGCTGCTAGATCTATGTATCAGTTTTTACCTCCCCTTGCTTCCCATCACTTCCGTTACTACGGTTGTATTATTGCGCGGTAAATTTGAACTAATAAAAACAACACAATTTTACATCCCCAGTTGTTTAATTATTTTAAAATTAAATTATAAGGAATGATTAATTCTTGGCCAGATTATCGAGTATAATATGGTTTCAGTTTACGCTTTTTTATAATCCGCTTCGCGGAATTTAAAGCGTAAACTGACCCAAACCATATTATACTCGATAATCTGGCCAAGAATTAGAGTCATTCCTTAATTAACAATTCTACCCCTAAATTAGCTCTATTTTGACTACTAAACGACTCTACGCCGCGTGACACAGCGGTAAGAGCGTTTCGCTAGAGAGTTGTGGACCAATTGGATGATCCTTTTTGATTTGATTTGATTTGAACATATTTTATTGTTTTGATGTTATAACAAAAGGATTGGACACAAGTTCTTAAAAACTTAGAACGTCCTCTCCTTGATCCTTTCGCTGCAGGACGCGGAGATCAGTCCTTCGGACATGACGGAGGATATGTGTCACAGCATGTAGCTATATACTTGCACCAAAAATATCCCTAGAAAAAGATCTAATGCCGAGAACTGGACAAAATTGCTTCCGCATCGGCACTCATTGGCGTTCCAATTTGTATACCAAGAAATTTTATGGGACGAAAAACCAAAAAATGGTCGTTTCTTGATGTATCGAGATGTAATAAGAGAAGACTGGAAACTTGGACGAGTATCCCTTGGATAAATACATGTACATATAGTGTTTCGTACGGTCGACTTGCTGTCTGCTAACTTACGGACATTCCATTGTGATTTAATGAAATAAATATGTTATGCGTTGTCTGAAATTTTATTTTCCCCATTCATTAAAGAAAATAAAATTATTTTTCAACGCAATCGTTCCGGCAAATTAAGATAGATTGTATTGTTAGCAAGTAAAAATACTACATCACAATAAAGCAGCGGTGTCGGGGGGCATCGGGCGGAACTGGGATGGATCATTGCAAATGACTGATAATTAATTCAGAATTTGAGGAAATAAATTGGGAGTCCACATTTAAACAAAGAATTCAAAGTTGTTATAAATGTTGATGGATCGCGTTTATACACGTCTAGTAATCTTTTATGGCTATGAAAACAGTTTTATTCACACAGGAATTGCCTTTGAATAATAAAAATCAAAAATAACAATAATATTTTAGATGTGGTGAAACTATCAATGGATCTTGTTAAATAACTGATTGAAAATTGTGATAAATCGAACGTTATTTATCAGTATATTTGCTAGTTTTTATGTTTTGTCTTTCTCTATGTTGTTTAAGACTACATCTACATGTTCTTTATTGTATTCACTCTTTCATAGAAGTGTGTTGTCTAGGCAGGTTAATTGCAGCTCATCCCTGTAAAAATAAAATATTGCATATAACCAAAAGATTTTAAATGAATAAATGCAATTATCAATGGAAATGTTAATCATTGACAAATATGCAGTAAAATTCTTACTGTTAGTTAAAAATTCAAAACTCACATATATCTGTCATAAAAGAGTAAATGAATTCTTTAATGGTAAATTTTTGTATATCATGCTTCTGCAATTGTATCAGTAAAAATATTGTATTATATGCTTCAATATGTTTAAATTTCGCGAGGCAAAGTTCATATAATATGTACGATTTGTACGCTGTATCAATCAACCCAACCCAGAAATAGACTAGTACATGTATTGCCTGCCTTTACCGTACGAAAAATCAGACAGGCAAGACCAGTCTAACCCAGAGGAAAACGTTAAAGCCCAAAGTTTCAGCAAATGGAAAGCAACACTCAGAAAAAAATTGTTTCAGATTCTAAAGCGAGATGTGATTGGCTGTTCTATATTTGATTGTGACCAGTCAGGATAAATGTTTGTTTTACAGAAAATTGGGAAAAAAAAGTGCATGTATTGAGGACCTGGATCCTTATATTGATCCAGTAAACCTGTAAAATTATATTTGTAGAAAATGAAAAATAATGAAATCTCAGCCCCGAAAGCCGTGAGGGTAATCAACTGTCGACGGATGTCGCGGTAATAAAATTTACCTTTTTTTCATTGATCTTGTTTACTTTAAGCATTCTTCACAAGTAAACTTAACAATTTATCTAAATCTTTGATCTGACGAGGGTATCAATTAATTATGTCAATAACAGTTTCTACAAATTGAATATCTGGGAGCAGTTTATGCAAATTAGCTGTGACAAAGATGGAGGACGGAAGCCTAGAATCCCTTCTATCATCTCTAGCTATCGGTTGTCCTCGGCGTCATTCTGTGAACCCCGGGGCATCACGAAGCATTAACTTTAACAGATTAGGCAATATACTATGTGACCTTTTATTTCATTAGCGCAAAAAACGATTTTTCTCTGAGCAACGATTCATTCGGTCAGTTTTTATAATACTTTGAATAAATGATTGAAACCTTTGCAAAATTCAGATTGTGTTTTAAATGTTTTCTACAACAAAGACGCGTATTCAGATTTTCAATCAATTTAAGATAAATCTTTGCCCTTTTAATGCTTTTAAACGTCACTGTAAATAAAAAATTAAAAATCATATCGATTCTTTTAAATTTTTCACACTTAATAAAAAACTATGAAAAGGTACTATATGTTCATAGTTTATTCCATTTTGGTAAAGTGATATAATAAACTGACGATTAAAGAAAGTTACTCGAAATTAGATCAAGCGGAGATGAATGCAGAGCTATAAAAATTAAATATTCAATTTAGTTCTACGTATTTTTTCTACAATTATTGCTAATAATTTTATAACAGAGATGTAAATAAATAGCATTAAAGCAACATAAATCTTAATGGAAAACAAATTAAATTCTTACTTTCATTAAATCATTGGAACTTTATCATTTCACGTTCAATTTTACTGTTTAACATTTGTAGTTTTGTAAACATAATATGCTGACATTTTTATTAGCATCATATTAAACTTTGCGGGAGGATTTTGCTCTCTAATATTACTGTAAAAGACCATTGTACTTTTGTTACCATGTCTACGTTCTTTTTATCACCACAGCAACCAATGCAATTAAACTTCTTTAAATTAATTCCTTTGTGCAACCGCATTTATTTATGACATCCCAAATTTTGAATGTAAAAACCGGAATCTAATTATTTTTACTAATATCTTTGTTATCTTTAAGGGTCCGGACGGTTGCCTCTCCAAATTAACGATGATACTGAGAAAATTCAGGCGACGATTTCAGCTTGTACAGGATGTTCTTTTGTTAAGTCATGAATAATGATTGAACAAATTTTTATTGATATTGACGAGTCGTTGATAAAACGAGATGTCTATGTTTATATGATTGATATTGACTAATATCTGATGAGGTCACGTGATTCGACACGTGATCTTTCGGCTTCAGATGTTAAATCGTCTGATAATGAACGATGTGACAGGTTTTGAGATCTTAATTAGACCAGGAGGAGAAAACACATGTCTGCCATAAAAACTTATCAGTTTTCTAGAAGTAAACGATGATGAAAATAATAAATAATTGTGACCTCAAAATATTTATGAGAGTCGTACTTTTTTAGCTCTACTGGTCAGAGACCAGAAGAGCTTATGCGATAGTAATGCGTCTGTCGTCCGTCCGTCCGTCCGTCCGTCCGTCTGTCTGTCTGTCTGTCTGTCTGTCTGTAAACAATTTTTAGCTCTACTGGTCAGAGACCAGAAGAGCTTATGCGATAGTAATGCGTCCGGCGTCCGGCCGTCTGTCTGTCTGTAAACAATTTTTCAAAATGCTACTCCTCCTACAGTTTTGGTCTAATTTCAGTATAACTTGGCACACAAGTAGACTACACTAAGATACATAATTCTGTGTATCGGTTTTTGATTTTGATGAACGGTGTTGCCGTGGTTACTAAAAATAGAAATTTCTTTGAAATTCTTTCAAAATGCTACTGCTCCTACAGTTTTGGTCTAATTTCAATATAACTTAGCACACAAGTAGACTACACTAAGATACATAATTCTGTACATCGGTTTTTGATTTCGATGAACGGTGTTGCCGTGGTTACTAAAAATAGAAATTTCTGTAAAATTCTTTCAAAATGCTACTCGTCCTACAATTTTAGTCTGATTTCAATATAACTTGGCACACAAATAGACTACACTAAGAACATAAAGAGATTTTATCAAGGATCATTATATTTATTGCTGTTGTAAAGTTTCAATTCCCAAAAGCTTAAGTACTTTTCTCTTCCTTTGCTATAAGTACAAACCAGTAGAGCTTCAGTCTCGACAGAGACTTCTGGTTTACTTTGAATACCTGTCCAAAATCAAGTATAACAGGGACCTAAATACTAAGTAGAATATAAAAATAATATATTTTTGTTAAAAAGTAAATGATTTTTTAACAAAAAATTATAATATATCAGAGACCTAAATATAGTTCCCTGAATATATTTATATTGATTAGGGATGTCAAAATTGTCAATAATTGATATTCAAAATTCGATAGGAGTTTTCGAATATATTCGAATATTCGATCAAAATAATCTTCCTGTTTATTTGAACATAGGATTAAAGGGGTTTAAAGTCATTTCTGTAGTATATTTTAAGTTATATCTTTACATTCAATAAAATTAAGTTTTATGCCATTATTTTGGAACAAAAACTCATTACAGATTTGGAAAATGTGCAATTATATATGTTTTATAATTGTCAAATATATGAAGAGTATCCATCCAAAATATAATGTTTTTTGTTGAAAATTTAAAAGATTCTTTAGCATGTTCCAGATTTATTGCTCGTCTTACTTAAGTCTAAACTGATAACTCCTACAAATTCAAACCAAGCAGAGCAATTATCTAACGGAGAAAAATTAAAAGTAATTACTTTTTGATAATTAATTTCCTGATAATGATTTTAATGATATTTACATAAATAAGGGATCAAACCGAGTCCTTACAACAATACAAGCTGACTGTAAGTACAGGACACTATTTTACCACTCATTAATGATCAAATAAATAATTACTTTAATAGATACACTCTTCACACCTCTAAGGTAATCCAAGAGGACTGTCTTTTAATTTTGTAAAACTTGATTCAATTTTCTAATAAAACATGTCAAGTTTTTCTCTCTTTTAAATGCTTGTACACTTAAAAAACGAATATTCGAATTATGAATTTATATTCGAATATCAACTCATCGCATGAATATTCGAATATCTCTAATATTGATATTACTTTCATACCAAATATGAAAACACATATCAATTAAACTCGACACATATTTTCATAGTTTATTTTTGTATAATTTATTATATTCTATCATATAATAGTATCTTACCTCCGAAGTTGTATTATTACATTATTTTTTTCTATAATATTTCATGAATATAAGAAGTATTTATAGGTTTCTCCATCGTAGAACAACGTCATTAAATTTGAGAAACCTTCAATTGACTTACTATGGGGTGATCAAAAAGTTCGCGAACTATCTCCTTATTTACAAAACCGCAATTCAGATCAGAATTAAATTTGGCATACATAGAGTCATACACATGTTCTATAAATAGCATATGTAATGGAACGTTTTGCCCCGTGTTTGTGACGTCACAATGTGAAAATGACGTCATAAGGTACATCACTTGTGACAAAAAATGGTTGACTCAGTCGTATTCGAGAAACGAACGGCTGTAAAGTTAAACGTACTATACCTTAGAAATTCCTTTGTAGAAGTTTATAATAACTTGTACACGGTTTATGAAGACAAAAGACTTGCCAGAAGTTTTGTCATTAATTGGATTGATTGTTTAAGTGAAGGAAGGGAGATGTTTAAAAATGATGTTTGTTCTGTTGCCCGGTGAAAGCAAACTGGGAGAGAGACGTGTCCTTTGTTAAGCAATTTGATTTGAAAGATCGCAAACTTACTGTTAGAAAAATAGATGAATATCTTTACAATAATATAATTATCAAATCCCTAAAATATCGTTTACTTTAGACTTTAAACATATCAGATATGATAAAGTGAAGGCACCCATACTTTATCCACATGAAATAAACGACACTCAAAGGACAGAGGACTTGGGTTTTGATGGTCACCACGCTCATTCTACAAAAGGACATCATAATCACCCAAACTATTGCAGAGATTAGGCCATTTCTGACAAATGGACTGTTTTTGTTGCAAAAAATAACGTGCATGGTAAGAAATAAAGATTTTAAGCTTCTGTGACAGAACGCTAAAGAGCATGTCCGTGATCGCCTATATCACGTGATCCGCGCATGGGCAGAATGGTTGCAGATGCGCATCAAAATAGGAGAGGGCTATTTTGAATTATTTTCAACACTGAAACCCCATATCATTTCTTTTTCGGAAGTTATTCAATTAGTTCGCGA